GAGGCAAGAAACCAAAGGAAGTAGAGGGAAGGAAACGGATTAGAACATCAATGGAGAGAAGTTCAAGTTTCTTGAAAAGATTAATAAAACTAGCAAATCTTTACCTAAACTGATCAAGAAAAATGTAGGAAGGTTCACATGATGAATCTGGAAATAAAAGAGGGAACACTGCCACCAGCAAATGCTATAAAATTCTATTTTGTGATTACCCTGAAACGTAGTGCTTTTGTTCTTCTTGAAGTTGTCACACTTGTGGTATACACAGTCCATAGCTGATACAGAATGGCTTCTAGGCAGCCCCCGCTTTTGTGATCTCTTTGAAGGAGAAAGCATTTCCTGATTAAAGAGGTTTCTTCGAACTTTGGTCACCTCTAAATGTGTTGGGGGAGAAAAAGAGCCATATGTTAGCATCAATAAATTAAAGAAGCTAGTACCCAACCAGAGGCTGCTTCAGGAAGCTACTCTATATTCACATTTAGTAAAGTGATTCCTTAAGACTGCACATTCCCATAGTACCTCAAAACTATCTTACAGATTCCAAAATATTTGTAGATAATTTTATATGAGGTAATGGCCTAATATTCTTCTGCACATGGATATACAGTTAATCTCAGTATCATTTGTTCTTAGTAATTCATTCCTCGATGAGCTGTATCCCAGTTAAATAATCAACTGAACATAATGTTAGTGTTAAATTTTTTTTTTTTTTTTTAATGTTAGGTAGAATTCAGCAGTGGAGCCATCTAGCTCTGGATATTTCTTTGTGGGAAGTTTTTAGGTTTTTTTTTTTTAAATAATGAATTCAGGGTTGGAGAAAGGGTTCAGTGGTTAACAGCACTGGCTATTCTTGCAGAGGACTAGGGTGCAGGTCCTAGCACCCACATAGCAGCTAACAGCTGTCTGCAACTCCAGTTCTAGGGGATCTGATGCCCTCTTCTGACCTCCATGGGCATTGCACACCACGAGTGTACCTACATACATGTAAGCAATACACTTATATGCATAAAAAAATAAATAGCTGGGCGTGGTGGTGCATACCTTATAATCCCAGCATTCAGGAGGCAGAGGCATAGGGATCTCTGTGAGTTCCAGGCCAGCTGGAGCTACAGGAAGACCCTGTCTCAAAAAGACAATAAATAAATAAATAAAATATTTTTTTAAATAATTCAATATTTTTACTTATCATGTTTATTAAAAATTTCTATTTATTGAGTCTGTGAAGACTGAAAAGTAATTTGTGTTCTATGAATTTGTCCCATTAACCTATTTTAACTAATTTGTTGGTATACAACCAAACAATTCAAGATTCCCAAACTGGAATCTGGCTTCGTGCTCACCCATCAGTAATGCAAACAATAGTCTTAAGGACACCAATACTATACTTCAAAACTTCAAAGACATTTCTCTATCCATCATAACCGTCCCTGTTACTAAAAAAGACAATTTGTGAAACTGATTTGTGTTCTGAAAGCCAAATTTGGTTTATTTCTAATGTCCAATGTTTAAAAAAAATTATTGCCTACAGAAAATTTCAAACAATAATGTAATAAACATATACCTATTACTAAAATTCATCATTAACATTTTTCACCCTTCATTAAAATTCACCATTAACACTTTTCCCCATCAATTCTTCTTCTTAGCATATATAAGTTTTCCCCTCTGAACCTTGTAGAGTTAAGTTTTTAGACCTGAAAATTCTTCACTTTCCTCTATTTCAGTACAATCTTCTAAGCACAGGACATTCTCTCTCATAACCATAATTCTATTATTATATTATCTAGCATATCATACTTTATCAAATTTCTCTAATTGTCTCAGCAATAAATTTTATACCTATAAAATATTTTATGCCAGGTATGGTGGTGCATGCCTTTAATCCTAGCACTTAGGAGGCAGAGGCAGGCAGATCTCTGAGTATGAGGCCAGCCTGGTCCACACAGTGAGTCCGAGGCCAACTGGGGCTACAAGGAGACCCTGCCACAAAAAAAAAAAAAGGAGAGATGGCTCAGTGGTTAAGAGCACTTGCAGAAGACTTAAGTTTGGTTCCCAGCACATGAATGGTGCTAACAACGACCCATAACTCCAGGTTCCAGGGAATCCAACACCCTCCTCCGGCCCCATGGACACTGCATGCACAGGTATACTTATATACATGTAGGCAAACCAATCATACACATAAAAAGTAAAAATAAATAAATATGTTATTAGACTAGTTGGGTTGGCACATTCCTTTAATCTCATTTGAGGTCAGCCTAGTCTCAAATATATAATGAGTTCCAGGCCAGTTAGGGCTGCATAGTGAGATGCTAACTCAAAAACAATAACTTAGATCTAAGCAGGAATCATGCAGCACACTTTAACCAACACACTTAAATGCCTTTCCTCTTACCTCTCATGGTTTTTTTTTTTCCTTTTCCCTTCCTTTTTTTTTTTCTTTTTTTTTTTTTTTAATTTCATGATGACATTTTGAAAGATTTTAGACCAGTCATTTCAATATTATATGAACTATCTTACTCTCCTAAAACACGACATTTTGGACTTTTTTTTTTGGTCTTTTGAGACCTGTTGCCCCAGCTGGCCTGGAACTCACTCTGTAGACCAGGTTGGCCTCAAACTCACAGAGATCTCTGTGCCTCTGCCTCCTGAGTACTGGGATTAAAAGGCATGTGCCATCACGCCTGGCTGGATATATTTTCTTAACCAATAATGATATGAAGCTGTAATTTATATTAAATCATGCAATCAAAGTAAATCTTTCAATTCAGTGAACAATGCATTGAGAAAACAAAGCATACCTTGTACTGTGTCTTTCACTGGGAGTGGATGCTGTGCAGGAGCAGGGTGAGAGCGCTCCTAGAAATAAGAAACAAAGAAAATCCACATGAGCGTTCCCTCAAAAAAATAAAAATTTTACCTAAAACTCTTTGTGATCTTTGCAATTCAGAGCGATCCATAACAGAAATAGTAAAATGCACTAACATACATGTTCTAAAGACATTCTTGCTACATTAAAGTTATATAAAGAAGTACCATAAAGGCACATTAAAACTGAAATAGTTCAATTATACACCCATCCAACGCAGACATTAAAAGTATAAGGAAGGCAGACTTATGCATACCATCATAGATCAGAATAGGGCCAGTGAGATGGTTCAGTGGGTAAAAGATACCACCAAACCTGATGACCTGAGTTTGATCCCTGAAACCTACATGGTAGAAGGAGAGAACCAACTCTCCTAAGTTGTTCTTAAACCTCCAAAACTGCACTGTGGTATGTGCACACCACCCCCACAAATACGCAAATAAATAAGGTTTAAAAATAAATCAGAATAGTTGGGCATGGTGGCACACGCCTTTAGTCCCAGCACTTGGGAGGCAGAGGCAGGTGGATCTCTGTGAGTTCAAGCCAGCCTGGTTTACATAGTGAGTTCCAGGCCAGCTGGAGCTACAAGGAGACCCTGCCTCAAAAAGATCCCCACCCCAAAATCAGAATAGAGTAGATTAAGTCATTTATTCTTGCTGTTTAATTTGTATTTTTTAAAATATCTTATTAATTTTTATTTTATGTGTATGAGTATATTGCCTGCATGTATGTGAGTGCGCCCGCGTCGTGCAATGCCTCGGAGGTCAGAAGAGGGCTTCAGACTCCCCTGGAACTGGAGTTAAGGATGATTCATAGCCGCCATGTGGGTGCTGGGAATCAAACCCGGGTCCCCTGCAAGAGCAGTCACTGCTCTTAACTGCTGAGCCATCTCTCCAGCCCCTAATTTGTAATTTTTAAAAAATTTTATTATTTACTTTTTAATTTTATGTGTAGGAGTGTTTTGCCTACATTGTGCAATGTGTGTGGAGGCCAGAAGAGGACACTGGATCCACCAAGTGGGTTCTGGGAATTGAACCTGGATCTCTAAGAGCAGCCAGTGCTCTTAACATCTCTCCAGCCCCTTAATTTGTATTTTTAAAACTGAGTATCCCTACATAGCTTAGGACAGCTATATAAAGATCCTCCTGCTTCAGCCTTTTGAGTGTCAGGTTTATAGGAATATGCCTCATACTCAGCCTGGATTAAATCATTTTGAATGTTCATGTATATGTGAGTATATTACAAACAAGCATAAACTTTGAGTCTGTTTGTAGTATATGCAGGAAAACATCTAGTCTGTATCATATGCAGCAAATTATAATTAGTATTATAACTTCTGAAAATCTAATTTTGGGGAGTTAATATATGCAAAGGAATATACACTAATATGATTTATATATATAATTTACATTGTGTTACACAAGCTCATTGCTTCCTAGCTTAACTACAAAGACTCAAATTTCTTCCAGACACTTAACAACTTATCCTTTCAGCTCAACTGTCATCATCTATGATACTCACTGATTTGACAAACATTCTTTAATCAAGATCAAATCCTTATCTTATCTGTGAAAGCAGACTGCCTTGGCCAATCTAAAACAAAAGTTTCAAGAAATGCTAGAAAGTGCAAAGCACTGCAAAACCTAGTAAAAACAGAGGTTTCTCAACTTCCATTCAGCCACTTTCAAATCTCATGGTCTTTTGTCATGATTGCGAGCTCTATAAGATCTGCATCTTACTCACAGGTAAAGGTATGGTAAGAAAGTATCACTAAGAGAAATCCTATCTCCCTGCTCTAGAAATGAAGAGCAACCTCTGCAATGAGGAATGATTCTGAAATCAGCTCCTCAAATAGCTTATGTTCAAAGTTTTGCTGCATTTCTAATCATTCTTTCCTAAGTCAATTCCAGGTATGTGTTGGGTTGTTTTTATTGCAATCTACAAAAATTTCAACTCCTTTTATATTTATGTTGCCACAGAAAAAACAGTGCTGGGATTGCAAGTGTGCATCACCACATCCGGTGTTTTGTATGTGGGTTCTGAGGACTGAACTCAGGCCCTCATGCTTGCATGGCCAGTACTTTACCAACTGAGCTATTTTCCCAATCCCCGGCTTTTTTTTTTTTTCCAAAAAAAAAACCATAGGTTCTAGAGCTCAAACTCAGGCCCTCATGCTTTTAAGGTGAGAGCTTTATCAACTAAGCTATTTCCCCAGCTCTAGCTCCCCACCACCATTTTTTTGTTAACATGGGTTCTAGGGACTAAATCTAGGTTATAAGTACTTCACCAACTAAACTATCTCCCTAGTCCCTAACTATCATTGTCTTGAATAAAACAGTTCACCTCTTACATTTATAATTCTTCTTTATATTGTATATTTCTTTATTCCTTTGGTTATAGTTTTATACATAGTCACAAAAATATTCAACACAGTTGAACATATTATCTAATCCAAAAGTCCAAAATCTGAACTGCTCTGACATCTAAAGTTTTTCTGATTGTCAATACTGTATGCAAATACTCCAAAATCCAAAAGCTCTGAAATAAACACTTCTGCTCTCAAACATTTCAGATACCGATGCTCAACCTGTACATGTCTGCATCCCCCAAAGTCCATTTCCCAAAAGCGGAGACCCTGTGCTTCATCCTTGTGTCAACTCGAGCTGGCAGAAATAACTGTGTCATTTCTTGTTTATTGGAGACTACTTACATTTTTCATAGCTCTCTTGGACACTTTGGGAATTTCAATTTGTCGAAGAGTCTGTGAAACCTCTGCAATGCTTTTATGTCTTACTAGTGCATTTTTCCTTATAAAAACAGAGAAGAAACAGTCAAATCATGCTAGACAGATGCAATACATAGTTAAAAAAAAATTTTTTTGGTGGGGGGGGCTTTTTGAGACAGGGTTTCCCTGTAGCCACAGCTGGCCTGGATCTCATTCTGTAGACCAGGCTGGCCTTGAACTCACAGAGATCTGCCTGCCTCTGCTTCCTGAGTGCTGGGATTGAAGGCATGTGCCACCATGCCTGGCTACATAGTTAAATTTGAACAAAATCAGAGTCTAAAATACATTGTTTAACTAAATGCCAGTCTATCTATTCTGAGGTTGGCCTAGACTTATAACAAGTCAAGTCCAAATTTTCTAAAAAATAGCTACAATAAAGTCCAGTAGTTAGTAACAATGAAACGCATCAAGGGAAAAATTTTAAAGTAATTGGGAAACCTGACATTAAAAGGTTCCTAGTTCCTAGATACTCCATGTAGACAGTAAAGAACATTGTAAGCCAAAATAAACACCACATATTCTCCAAGTAACATAAAGTGTCAGATGCTACTTGGAAGGAATTCCTGATGGTATCCTTCTGTGATTCAGACACAAGGGCAACTGTCAAATCAGTACATTGGTTGGACAAAGACTGTCTTTAAGCCTACCTTTCTCTGAACCCTAATAATTGTTGAACTCCTTTAACTCCTACCTTCTCTTCTTGGCTGATCTGGTCCGTAGCTCCTCCAGCTGGTCAGACTCAGAGATGCCCGACACTGATCTGTGAGCAGCTGACGAAAGAGGTGGTGACTTGCTCTCTTGTGTCATTGAGTCATCACTGAAAAATTCTGGAGGAAGGACACTGGCCAGCCTCTGAGGAATCATAAACCCCAGACTGTGGTAAAGTTTTCCAATTGTCATTGGGATGGAGTCAATATACCTGTAGAATAGATTGGTAAATGTGAAACAAAGCTGTCATCTCACCCCCTCTATTTTCTCCTTTACTCTGCATGAAAAAAAAAAAAAAAGCCCTTGCAGTTCTATGATTCTAAGACAATGCCATGTACAGTTCTTTTTTTTTTCTTTTTTTCTTTTTTTTTTGGTCTTTTTGAGACAGGGTCTCCCTGTAGCCCCAGCTGACAGCTGGCCTCAAACTCACAGCGATCCGCCTGCCTCTGCCTCCCAAGTGCTGGGATCAAAGGCGTGCACCACCACGCCTGGCATGTACAGTTCTTTTTTTTAAAAAAAAAAAAAAATTATATGCCAGGCATGGTGGCACATGCCTAAATCAAAAAGACTAAAAAAGAAAAAAATCATTTATTATTTTTGTTGTACGTGTATGAGTGTATTGCCTGCATGCTGCATGTATGCAAGTTCAGTGCCTGTGTTGTACAGTGCCCATGCAGATTAGAAGAGGGTGTCAGATCCCCTAAAACTGTGTAGGTGCTGGGAACTAAACCCAGGTGCAGTTAACTGCTCTTAACCACTGAACCATCTCTTAAGTGTCCATGTCCTCCCCTCCATCCCGCCCGTGTAGTTCTTGGTAAAAGAATTTAAAATAGTCAGTAGCCATTAAACTTACAATCCCAAAATCTCCTCCAGAAACTCTGAGGGGTGTGCTGAGTCCTCAGTGAGACACATCATGCGTAGTAAATCTGTCACCTAAAGGAGACAGTAGAGAATTACTATAGGCCTCTGCTGGGCAGCTGAAAGCAGGAGGGCATGTTCTCAGGGCAGTAGCCATGTACCATGTACTTGCCTCCTCCACTACCTGCTCCACCTCATCTGTACTTTCCAGTACTGAAGGACATTGGAGACACGTCTCCAGATGAAGAAACACTTGAAGCTGGCACCTTGAGAAAACAAAATACTTTGTGATATCTATTTTGCCTAGCAATTACTGAAAACTCATTATTTCAACAGATATTTAGTCATATAAGAAACAAAGAAGCACTTGCCTAGCATGTACAAAGCCCTGGATCCCATCTCCGATACTGGGAAAAAAGGGGGCAGGGAGGGAAGCTGGGGATGTAGCTCAGTTGGCCAAGTGCTTGCCTAGCATGTCCCAGGCCTTGCATTCAATTCCCAATACCACATAAACTGGGTGTGATGATGCACACCTGTAATCTCAACACTTGGGTGGTGAAGGCAAGTGGATCAGGAGTTCAAGGACAGCCTCAGTCACTCACAGACTTAGTTTGAGGTCAATCTGGACTACATGAGACCCTAACTCAAAAAAAAAGAGAGAGAAACTAAGTAAGTAAAGAAAGAAGGAAAGGAGGGACAGATAGAGGGAGGAAGGGAAGAACCGACCAGTAAAAAGAGCTGTTGCTTTCTCTAAATACTGATGTGCTTATTATATAAACAGTGATTCAAACTGCCCGTTAGAACATCATAAAGAATCACAAAAGCATGCTCAAGCAGTTGGCAATTTTAACCTCAGAGCTTTGTTGTGGAGATGGTAATATTAAATAAAGTGGTTACTTACTCTCTGACTTTGACTTCTTTATCCAGTTTTTCCCAGAGATTTTGTCGAAGAGTTTTGCTGTTTTTTAAGAGATTGTTTTTTACATGATTCAGGCAGGTTACCTGCAAACACAAAATTATTACATAGAAAAATACTAAGTTAATTATTTCTACTTTCTGTCACAGTTGACTAGTTGCCCTAAGGGAAGCATATTATCTTATACACTTCTATATTCTTTTATTTGAATGAAAAACACTAAAATGCGTATTTTTTCTTTTATATTTTAAAGAGAATGTGAGCTGAAAACAGTATTTGTGATCAAGTAGACATAGCAAGACTGCTGATTTGAACTGTTACAAGGAAGGTTCCACAAAGCAGTGATGGACAAGACTACTATAAACAACTCCTTCTGTTGAGAACATTGTTTGGGCCATTAAACATGAATAGCAGCGTTAAGATGGTCTAAAACAGCCGGGTGTGGTGGTGCACGCCTGTAGTACCAGCACTTGGGAGGCAGAGGCAGGTGGATCTCTGTGAGTTCAAGGCCAGCCTGGTCTATATAGTGAGCTCCAGGGCAGCTGGGGCTACAGGGAAATCCTGTTTCAAAAAGACAA